AATAAATAAACAATAAATCGTAACTTCTCTCTCCTGAAACCCTTTTCTTTGAATTGGGGCAAGCCCTTTGCAGTTAGTAATTTTCAAACTCTCATAGCCACATATCATTCCTTTTATGTAGATACCTCTGAGCTAAAAAATCTGTATCTCCTGTGGAGAACAAACTCTGAAGTGTATAATTTTGTAAGTATTCAAATGTGTTGTAACTTATGGTATTTAATGGATATGTTCAACAAATATTGATGCAATAACAAGTGTGAAGACTTTACTAATTTTCTTAATGTGTAAAATACTTGAATATTAAGTATTTCTACAATATAATCATTTTCAACATAGTAATTTTCAAACTCTCATAGCCACATTTCGTTCCTTTGATGTAGATACCACTGACTCAAAAATATCTGTATCCCCTGAGGAGAATTTGTTCAAGTGTATAACTTTGTAAGTACTTAAATGTGTTGTAACTTATGATATTTAATGATACAGTTGTTCTATATGTATGCTACTGGAGTAAAACATTGATTTGTACATTAATTTCAGTCCACCAGAGGAAGGCCTGAGGTAGGCCGAAACCGGTTGTGGATGGCTGATCCACAAGCTACTTATAAGAAGATACGACTGTACTAAAAATTTGCACAATATTGTTTGTTGTCGCTGTGAGGTTAACAGTGCAGCATGTTATATACACTTCCTGACTGTGAGAGCCGTTCAGCAGTGGAACTCTCTGCCCCGGAGTGTGGTGGAGGCTCCTTCTTTGGAAGCTTTTAAACAGAGGCTGGATGGCCATCTGTCAGGGGTGATTTGAATGCAATATTCCTGCTTCTTGGACTGGATGGCCCTTGAGGTCTCTTCCAACTCTTTGATTCTATGATTCTATGATAGGCCAGGATAGCAAAGAGAGGGGAGAAAAAACTCCAGCAGACAAGAAAGAACTCTTGTCTGCTGGAACTAGGTGTGAACGTTTCCTGTATGTTTCTGCAAAGGTGTTTAGAGTGGTTTGTAGGTCTTCTTCTGAATGTGCACAGATGATGTTGTCATCAGCATATTGTAGTTCTATAACAGATGTTGTTACAGCACCCTATACTATAATATAATATAATATAATATAATATAATATAATATACATAATGTATCATTTCTTGGGCCTCCATGAGAAACATTTGTTTCAAAAAGGGCTCGGCTGCTGAAAAAGTTTGAGAACCCCTGCTCTAATGCAATCCCAAACTGTATCATATGGCTGTGCAGATCCAGTCTTCCAGGAAGGGACCAGGAAGTGGGTGGTGCTTCGTCTTCATGATTGACAGGCCAGGATAGCAAAGGGAGGGGAGAAAGAACTCCAGCAGACGAGAAAGAACTCTTGTCTGCTGGAACAAGGTGTGAATGTTTCCCGTATGTTTCTGCAAAGGTGTTTAGAGTGGCTTGTAGGTCTTCTTCTGAATGTGCACAGATGACGTTGTCATCAGCATATTGTAGTTCTATAACAGATGTTGTCACAACAACCTATAATATAGTATAGTATAATATAATATAGGAGCCCCCGGTGGCGCAGTGGGTTAAAGCACTGAGCTGCTGAGCTTGTTGATCGAAAGGTTGCAGGTTCGATTCCGGGGAGCGGTGTGAGCTTCTGCTGTCAGCCCTAGCTTCTGCCAACCTAGCAGTTCGAAAACATGCAAATGTGAGTAGATCAATAGGTACCGTTCTGGCAGGAAGGTAACGGCGCTCCATGCAGTCATATAATATAATATAATATAATATAATATAATATAATATAATATATAATAATATATATAATATAATATAATAAATATAAATAATATAATATAATATAATATAATATAATATAATATAATATACATAATGTATTATTTCCTGGGCCTCCATGAGAAACTTTTGTTTCAAAAAGGGCTCAGCTGCTGAAAATGTTTGAGAACCCCTGCTCTAATGCAATCCCAAACCGTATCATATGGCTGTGCAGATCCAGTCTTCCAGGAAGGGACCAAATCTTGGGGACTGGCCAGTTGTGTGTGTGTTTGGGGGGGGGGGGAGGAGAGTGGGCGGTGCTTCGTCTCCATGATTGACAGGCCAGGATAGCAAAGGGAGGGCCTTGCCGGGCTCACGTGACCCTCCCCGGGGCTGGAACCGAGAGAGGGAGAGAGGGAAAAAAGTTGTGGGGAAGAAAGCAGCAATCTCTTGGCTGGCCCGTCCCAGTCTACTCCAAGCGGTGCATTTGGCAGGAGGCGCTCCGGAGCGGCAGCAAGAGCAGCAGCCGGCTCTTCCCTCCCATGCTCGGCACCAGAGCCCTCCGCACTGCCCCCTTTGATCCGCGTCGGTCCCCGCTTGCCTTCCCCGCGCCAGGATCCCCGCTTTTCCCTCCCACGGATCCTACGAGCTCCGCACTGGCTGTCAAGAAGAACCATGGACTGTTTCTATCTGCCGTGCTTTCTGTCAGTGAGTAGCGCTTTGCTCCTTTCCTTCCTTCCTTTCCTTCCCCTGGATCCAAAATAACACTCATATTATAGCATTATTAGCACGATTAGTACCCGTATTAGCATGAGGAGTATCAGTACTATTATTTTAGTTGGGTTACTGTGAGTTTTTCGGGCTGTTTGGCCATGTTTCAGTAGGAAAGGCTTGGAGAGATGTGCATTTTGTCGGAGGATTTTGCTCCTTCCTTTTCTTCCCCTGGATCCAAATCAAAACTCTTATTATAGCATTATTAGCACGATTAGTACCCACATTAGCACGATGAGTATCAGTACTCTCATTATAGTTGGGTTGCTGTGAGTTTTCCGGGCTGTTTGGCCATGTTTCATTAGGAAAGGCTTGGAGAGATGTGCATTTTGTCGGAGGATTTTGCTCCTTCCTTTTCTTCCCCTGGATCCAAATCAAAACTCGTATTATAGCATTATTAGCATGATTAGTACCCATATTAGCATGATGAGTATCAGTACTCTCATTATAGTTGAATTGCTGTGAGTTTTCTGGGCTGTTTGGCCATATTTCATTAGGAAAGGCTTGGAGAGTTGTGCATTTTGTCGGAGGATTTTGCTCCTTCTTTTTCTTCCCCTGGATCCAAATCAAAACTCTCATTATAGCATTATTAGCATGATTAGTACCCGTATTAGCATGATGAGTATCAGTACTCTCATTATAGTTGGGTTGCTGTGAGTTTTCCGGGCTGTTTGGCCATGTTTCATTAGGAAAGGCTTGGAGAGATGTGCATTTTGCGGCTTTTGTCGGAGGTTGGGTTCCTTTCTCTTTCTCTCTCTCTTCTACTCCGAGTCTTAACTTTTCTGCCCGGTTTACTCCGAGTTTAGTTCAATTAGGAGTTGAGTTGTGTTTTACTCGAGAGGAAGCCCATACAAGAGGCTCTATGCCCCCAAAAGAAAAGCCCAAACTTGGAGGAACTTGGGGATTCGCGCTCCAAAAGCACAACAGCAGCTCTTTCTTTCCTTGCGCCCTAGGATTTGGTGTTTAGAGCCTCAAAGCCAAGACACTCCACTCTCTTGCGTGTATTTATGGAAAGGTAGAGGGACTGGGAGGAAGAACTGGGAGACGAACTGGGGAGGAAGGTGTTTGGGGGCAGAAGCTTTGGCCGACTTCATCATGCTTCTGCCCCCAAGCTGTTTCCTCCCCATTTTCTCTCAAAGCTACAACTCAACTCTTCCTCCCCCAACTCCTTTCTCTCAGTTGCCCTCCAAGCTTCTCTAAATCCCCCCTTTCCAGGCTACTATTTCAAGAGAAAACCAGACTATGGTGTTCATTGCTGTACACGCTTGGTCTGGGATGGGAAGGACAAAGCCCCAAGTCTTTCCCACCCAAGATCTTCAGGAGCAGCCTTTTCCAAAAGCCTTCTCCACTCAAGACCTTGCCCCAAGTCCTTCCCACCCAAGATCTTCAGGAGAAGCCCTTTCCAAAAGCCTTCTCCACTCAGGAGCTTGCCCCAAGTCCTTCCCAACCAAGATCTCCAGGAGAAGCCCTCTCCAAAAGCCTTCTCCACTCAGGACTTTGCCCCAAGTCTCCTTCCCAGCCAAGATCTTCAGGAGCAGCCCTTTCCAAAAACCCTTTCCACTCAGGACCTTGTCCCAAGTCCTTCCTACCCAAGATCTTCAAGAGCAGCCCTTTCCAAAAGCCTTCTCCACTCCAGACCTTGCCCCAAGTCCTTCCCACCTAAAATCTTCAGGAGCAGCCCTCTCCAAAAGCCTTCTCCACTCAGGACCTTGCCCCAAGTCCTTCCAACCCAAGATCTTCAGGAGCAACCCTTTCCAAAAGCCTTCTCCACTCAGGACCTTGCCCCAAGTCCTTCCCACCAAGATCTTCAGGAGCAGCCCTTTCCAAAAGCCGTTTCCACTCAGGACCTTGCCCCAAGTCCTTCCCACCCAAGAACTTCAGGAGAAGTCTTTTCCAAAAGCCGTTTCCATTGAGGACCTTGCCCCAAGTCCTTCCCACCCAAGATCTTCAGGAGCAACCCTTTCCAACCAAGGCTTTGAACTGGACCTTGCTCCCAGTCCTTTGCATCCAGGATGTTTTCACTGGATCTTGCCAAAAAGTCCTTCCAACCCACTCAGGACCTTGTGAAAATTCCCTTGTAGCCAGGACGCTTCACTTCCGCAGAGGGACTTTTTCTCCTCTTAGCAGTTAGCATCTCTGGCCCCCTTCTACACTGCCCTATAATCCAGATTATCAAAGCAAATAATGCACTTGAGTCTACACTTGCCAGATAATCCAGTTCAAAGTTGATCATCTGGATTTTATATGGCAGCGTAGAAGGGGCCTTGGCCTTTCTCCCTCTGTCCCCTACGCTGCCCTCTGGGATTTCTTAACAACCAGCAAAACATACTATAATATCATAAGGATATGCTCCCAAACAGAAATCTGGGCTTGGAAGCAGATGAAGGAAAGGGATGCACAAAGTTTGGTGTTTTTTTGAAGTAAGGTCAAAGTCTTCCTGGAAAAACTGATTTTGGGAGAGAGAGAAAGAATGGATGGATGGATAGACAAAATAGAGTAGAATATAGATAGATAAATAAATTAATTAATAGATATATAGGAGCCCCAGCAGTGCAGTGGATTAAACTGCTGAGCTGCTGAACTTGCTGACCGAAAGGCTGGTGGTTCAAATCTGGGGAGTGAGGTGAGCTCCTGCTGTTAGCCCCAGCTTCTGCCAACTTAGCAGTTCAAAAACATGCAAGTGTGAGTAGATCATTAGGTACCACTCCAGCGGGAAGGTAACAGTGCTCCATGCAGTCATGCCGGCCACATGAGCTTGGAGGTGTCTATGGACAATACCAGCTGTTCAGCTTTGAAATGGAAATGAGCACCAGACCCCAGAGTCGGACACGACTAGACTTAATGTCTGGGAAAAATCTTTATTTATTATTTATTTAGGGCATCCTATTTCAACCTCCACAGAGGGACTCCAACCGGCACAGCACAGTGCCAACAATAAAGTAAAAACAGGCATAAATATACATATTATAATAAAACAATATAAAAACATTAAAATAATTTATCGATTTAAGTCATCGTCCTTTACCTTTACTTTACAAAGACTGGAAATATAGATGATAGATAGTGGGGATTAAAGATGGATAGATGGAGGGGGATAAAGACAGATGGTAGAAAGATGAGATACATAGAGAGATAAAGTTAGATGGATGGATCCATGGCCGGATAAACTGCAGCAATAAAGACAATGGGGCGCAAATATAAATATATGGAGTTTTGGTGGTCTTGTTTCTCTCACTGTTCTGTCCTTCTGTAATAATTCGGAAACATTCCTTTTTGGGACTCTATACCTCCCGGTATCCTACTCTTGAATGAGCTGTTACGCCCAGAGAAATGACTGCAGTGCAGTGGGAGGTGTGCAAAAATCATAGAATCATAGAATCAAAGAGTTGGAAGAGACCTCATGGGCCATCCAGTCCAACCCCATTCTGCCAAGAAGCAGGAATATTGCATTCAAATCACCCCTGACAGATGGCCATCCAGCCTCTGTTTAAAAGCTTCCAAAGAAGGAGCCTCCACCACACTCCGGGGCAGAGAGTTCCACTGCTGAACGGCTCTCACAGTCAGGAAGTTCTTCCTCATGTTCAGATGGAATCTGCTCTCTTGTATCAAGAAAGGTTGACCAGTTGAGGGATTCTGGGAGTTGCAATCCCCCCAAAGAACTAGCTAGTGGTTTCTTGGAGTTGTGGTCTTCACATGGAAACTTTTCCCAAACTGGTTGATTGCTGAATTTGGAAAGTTGCCCTCCCCATAAGGGGAGCTTGTCACAAAAATGTGTGGAAGCTTTTAAACCAAAACTTTGGGGGGCTTCAGCCCCCCCCGAAATTCTCAGGGTGGTCCACGAGAAGGCCTTACTGGTACATTATTTAAACTGTTATGTTTATTCATATCATGATCTGATCACCATGATCAATATATCCCATATGCATGGGGGTATTGGGTAACGATACAAAAGGTTTGCTAGGTTAGACCCTCTTTCACTCAGACTCAGCCCCCTCCCCTGAACCAAACTCAGTTCCCCCCCGAAACAAAATCCTGGCTATGGGCCTGGAACAATGGCTTCCAAAAATAAAATAAAGATTGTAAAAGGGAAGAGCAATTGATTTGTGATCCAAAAGGCAGTGTTTTTTTGTGGTTTGGGAGATACTGGGAGTTGTGATGCCCTGCCATAACCTCTAGAGGAATTCTACAAAAATGAGAAGAAGTTGAACTTTTTTTTTTGGGTGTGTGCTTCTTGCTGTCATTTTTTGACCAATTTGGTTTCTTTGTTGGCATCTTCTCCTCCTCCCCCGCACCCCCCTCCACCCCAGAGACACCATGACGCCTGGTAACCGAATGCTGATGGTCCTCCTATTGTGCCAAGTGCTGCTCGGAGGGGCGACTCACCGTGCCAGCCTCATCCCCACCGAGATTGGCAAGAAGAAGGTGCCGGGGGACCTCCACCCTCACCACCCGCAGCAGCCGGCGCCTCGAGGGGGGGACCAAAGGGGCGAGGGTGTGGGGGGCGCTTCCACGGGCTCCTCTCGCCGCCCTCTGCCCAGCCATGAGCTGCTCCGTGGCTTCGAGGCCACCCTCCTGCAGATGTTCGGCCTCCGCCACCGGCCCAGGCCCAGCCCGGATGCTCTGGTGCCCTCCTACATGTTGGACCTCTACCGCCTCCAGTCCGGGGAAGGGGAGGACCGCCTCCATGACCTCAGCCTCCAGTATCCTGAGAAGCCCACCAGCCGTGCCAACACCGTCCGCAGCTTCCACCACGAAGGTGAGGCTGGTTATCAAGTGGTTATTGTTGGCGTGCAGAAGGGTTGGACAGACAAAGGAATGGATGGGTGGGTAGATAGGTAGGTAGATAGGTAGGTAGGTAGATAGATAGGTAGATAGATAGGTAGATAGATAGGTAGATAGATAGGTAGATAGATAGGTAGATGGATGGATGGATGGATGGATAGGCAAGTTGATGGATGGACCAATGGAAAGAATGATGAATGGATGGATGAGTGGACAGATAAATGCACAGATAGGAAGATAGATGATGAACAGATGGATAGATGGATGTATACATGGATGGATGCATGAATCAATGACTAGATGAATGGATGTACACACAGACAGGGATGGATAGAGCAACAACTGGATAGTCTTATGGATGGATGAATAGATAGGCGGATGAATGGACACACAGATGGATGGGTGGATGAACAGATGGATGGACAGATAGATATGAATTGATGTATAGATAAAAAGGATGTATAGATTGATAGATAGATAGATAGATAGATAGATAGATAGATAGATAGATAGATAGATAGATAGATGGATCAATGGATAGGCAAGTTGATGGATGGACCAATGGAAAGAATGATGAATGGATGGATGAGTGGACAGATAAATGCACAGATAGGAAGATAGATGATGAACAGATGGATAGATGGATGTATACATGGATGGATGCGTGAATCAATGACTAGATGAATGGATGTACACACAGACAGGGATGGATAGACCAACAACTGGATAGTCTTATGGATGGATGAATAGATAGAAGGATGAATGGACATATAGATGGATGGATGGGTGGATGAACAGATGGATGGACAGATAGGTATGAATTGATGTATAGATAAAAAAAGGATGTATAGATAGATGGACAGATAGATGGATGAATGAATGGGTAGATGGATGGATAGCAGAGGATTTTCATTGGGGTCTCATACCATCTGCCCTCTGGAATTAACTATGGAAGGAGACCCACTGAATCAAGAAGGTTGACACTTTCCATTTCTTAGTAGAGGTGGACAGGCTGCTCTTCTCCCACAATCTAGGCCAAAGACAGAAGACCTCATCACACTAGAATGAATCCACTTAAAATCCAGTTTCCTGCAAAATTCTGGGGTTTGTAGTTTAGGGAGGAGCCTTTAGCAGCCACACTAAACTACAAACCCCAGAATTCTGCAGGAGGCAGAATCCGAATTTCAAGTGGATTCATTCTCTAAGTGTGAAGAGAAGAGTCAATCCAAATTCGAACTTCTAGAGACTGGGGGAGTACAATTGTCTTTTTGTGGGGAGGGGGAATTTATGCATTTGTACAATTCCTTCCAAACAAAATACAAGTAAGGACGAGATGGGTATTCCAGCATATTTGAAGGAAGAGGGGGTGTAGCAACATCAGAGTGTGAGTAATGAAACTGGAGTGACTGTTCTTTTGCGAAGTTGGGGAGGGGGGGGGTCCAGTGCCCCCCCCCAGTCTATTTAATAGCTGAGGCCAAATTGCTCCAGATGGGTCTAAACTAGCAAAGAAGTGGCAGAAGAGAGGAAGTGGGAGTTTCTAAGGGTGCATCCACACTGTACTCTTTGGCAGAGAAAGTCCAAGCCCTGATAAAACTACAACTCCCAGAATGCCATTGCCTTGAGCCGTGAATGTCAAAGTGGGGGTCAGACTGCACCCAAAGTCCATTTCTCAAGCGCTGCACTTTCGCTGCCTCCACTTTTGAGAACTTCCCCAAGGACTGGGGATTCTGGGCATCGTAGTCCCACAGAGTTCACTTCTCAAGCTCTGCATGCTATGTGTCTATGTCCCTTTTTGAATTGCAGTTGTCAGAATCACAGAGTCTTTAGATGAGAAGGGGCTGACAGGGTCATCTAGTCTGACCTACTGCCCATTTTGAGCACAGAGGTAATGCGGTCAACCTCTAGGACCTGAAAGGTGGCTGAAAGGGACCAAAGGAAGTGATGTGCATCCATTCCTCCACATTTAGAATCATAGAATCAAAGAGTTGGAAGAGACCTCATGGGCCATCCAGTCCAACCCCTCTGCCAAGAAGCAGGAATGTTGCATTCAAATCACCCCTGACAGATGGCCATCCAGCCTCTGTTTAAAAGCTTCCAAAGAAGGAGCCTCCACCACACTCCGGGGCAGAGAGTTCCACTGCTGAACGGCTCTCACAGTCAGGAAGTTCTTTCTCATGTTCAGATGGAATCTCCTCTCTTGTAGTTTGAAGGCATTGTTCCGTGTCCTAGTCTCCAGGGAAGCAGAAAACAAGCTTGCTCCCTCCTCCCTGTGGCTTCCTCTCACATATTTATACATGGCTATCATATCTCCTCTCAGCCTTCTCTTCTTCAGGCTAAACATGCCCAGCTCCTTAAGCCGCCTCTCATAGGGCTTGTTCTCCAGACCCTTGATCATTTTAGTCGCCCTCCTCTGGACACATTCCAGCTTGTCAATATCTCTCTTGAATTGTGGTACCCAGAATTGGACACAATATTCCAGGTCTGGTCTAACCAAAGCGGAATAAAGGGGTAGCATTACTTCCCTAGATCTAGACACTATTGTTGGTTTTAGAGGCACAGGTCAATTAGAAATATTCTGGCGGACCTCTACATGAATGGAGAAGTGGGTTCTCTAGGTCCTCCAGCATGACTCTGCAGTTAGCTTCCACCAGAGGTTGACCATGAGTTGCACTGGAAGACCTCAATTTTCCTTGGCAGAACATCTTAATAAAATCCACAAATAAACAGCTTGTAATTGTCCTCCTTGAATTGTGAGTCCCAGAACTGGACATAGTCTTACTCCAGGTGAGGTCTGACCAAAGCAGAATGGTGCCATCAGCATCATAGGCTATCATTCATAGCCAAGTCTGATTGTCTTCCAAGGGCAGAGTCTTGGTGGTGGGTCCGTAAGTGACTGTAGTGAACTATTCTGGTTCCTATCCTCAAACCAGACACTATAATGCTATTGATTCAGCCTAGAATTGTGTTCTGGGATTCACAATTCAAGGAGGACAATGACAAGCTGATTATTTGCGGATTTGATTCAGATGTCATTCCCAGGAAATTCCAGGTCTTTTAGTGCAACTCCCTGGTCAACCTCTGGTGGAAACTAACTGCAGAGTCATGCTGGAGGACCTAGAGATCCCATTTCTCCATCCATGTAGAGGTCCTCCAAAATATTTCTAATTGACCTGTGCCTCTAAAACCAACAAATGTGGAGGAATGGATGCACATGTTCAGCCCATGTTCAGTTTGTGGTCTCCTAAGACTCCTAGATCCCTTTCCAAGCCAGGTGTCCCCCATTCTTTTGGTTAGAATAGAATAATTTTGTTGTCATTGTACAACGAAATTTAATGCTTTCCCTACCACACCTCACAAAAACAACACACCCATCTCTCCACACTCCCACCACCTCTGCACAGCCCCCAATGCCACATCAGTGTGAAACCATGTACTTCAAGATCATAGAATCATAGAGTTGGAAGAGACCTCATGGGCCATCCAGTCCAACCCCCTGCCAAGAAGCAGGAAAAGTACATTCAAAGCAACCCCTGACAGATGGCCATCCAGCCTCTGTTTAAAAGCCTCCAAAGAAGGAGTCTCCACCACACTCCAGGAC